TCACTGCAGCTGGCCGTTTTCACTCAAGCGTGCCGCTCAGCAGCACACGCTGCGTTGCATTTCGCCTGGTGCTGCCCGTGGGCTCCTCCTGTGTCTTGTCTCAGGCTCACTGGGCCAATGCATGGCAGTATGGTAGCCGGCATGTGTTGGCGGGCCTAGGGTCCTGGAGGACGCTGGCCTCTCTGGTGGGGGGCACCCCTGCCCCCAGGCTTAGCTGACCCCTGTGCTCCCTAGGCCATCTGGCTGCTGTGCACAGGTGCCCGCGAGGCCGCCTTCCGGAACATCAAGACTATTGCCGAGTGCCTAGCAGATGAGCTCATCAATGCAGCCAAGGTGAGTGAGGACACGGGGAGGCGGCCAGTTCACGGCGAAGCTGCTCCAGTATTCAGAACTAACCATCTGTCTCCTTGCAGGGCTCTTCCAATTCCTATGCTATCAAGAAGAAGGACGAGCTGGAACGTGTGGCCAAGTCCAACCGTTGATCACCTGGCTGTGGCTTCAATAAACCTGTCTGCCTTTGGGGCAGCCTCACCCACCTGTGCCAGTGTCTGTCCTGGGGGGGCTCTGGGCGCTGGAGTGGGGATGGCCCCAGTGTCCTGAGGAGCTGCCCACGTTTCTGACCTGTCTCTTGGTGCGTGGGGACCCGGGTTCACCAGGGGAATAACTCTGCTCAGGAAGCACCACTGACTCAGAACCATGGCACCCCGGGGTGCAGGCCTGGCCACTGGAGTGCTGGAAATGAGCGGGGTGGGGTTGTCCTGGCATAGATGTCACTCTGGTCTGGGGAAGGGCTTGGTGTTTATCCATGAGATCTGGGAGGCATGTTGCCTGCAAGCAGCCCCAGGAAGAGGTCTCCAAGGCTAGTGGTCTGGGCCACCATTTCCAGCCCCCTGTCTGCTGGTTTGGCAGGGGCCAGCCCTGTCCAGTGCACTGTGGGGTCTGCCCACCTTCCACTCCAGGACTCCAGAGGTTCCTCTTTGTTCTGGCCAGGTTCCCCCAGGGGCTCCAGGCTGCCTCTGCATGTTTTTTTTAAGATTTTTTATTTATTTGACAGCAAGAGAGGGAGCACAATCGGGGGGAGTGGGAGAGGGAGAAGCAGGCTTCCCTGTGAGCAGGGAGCCCAATGCAGGGCTCCATCCCAGGACCCTGGGATCGCGACCTGAGCAAAGGCAGATGCTCAACGACTGAGCTGCCCAGGCGCCCCTGCCTCCACATTTTGTGTAGTCATGACTGCAGCCTAACCCTGGGTGCCCACAGGGCCACTGCCACACCAGGTTCTTGAAAGTGGATTCATGAGGTGATGGAAGACTTGGGTGGGGGGTTATTGCCCACCCACTGGGCCAGACTGTCAATGGCCTGTCTGCCTGTGCCATCCATTACCTTCCTGCCGCCCCCAACATCCGGCCAAGGTTAGGCTTGGTGTGCATCCTGGAGGGACCTGTCTTGGGGGCGGGCCAGGCAGTCAGACAAGTTTGACAGGTACCCTGGGAACCTGGGATCTGGAGGGAGTGGTACCAAGACAGCACCCTCCTGCAGGGAGGAGCACCTAGAATGCAGCTGGGGGTAGGCAGAGGACTGGGGTCAGAACTGGCAGGGACGTGCCAGCCAGAGGGAGGAGGCACCAACAGGTAGGAAGAGCCCAAAGGCCAGCTGGTGTCTGTCATGGTGGGGAACCTCTGGCACTTGTTCTGGGCTTCCATCATTGCTCTGTGCTGCTGGGCTCCAATCCTGAGGCTTGGGTGTCCTCTTTTCCTCATCTGCCCCTCCTGGAGTCTTGAATGGACCCCCTAGGGTCGAACTAGTTCTCTTAGAGGTCCCTATCTTCTGCTCCTCTCCATGTTGGATCCTCCCCATTGCTTGTCTGGGGTCCTTCCTGGTGATGGGTCCTCAGCTTTCCTCTCTGCCCCTTCCCTGCCCGTCTGGCTTAGGACCTATTGTGCCCCCTGGGTCTGTCCCTGTCCCCAATCCTCTGCCCTCCCATCTATTCCCCGCCCCCTCAAGTCCTGATGCTTCCTCGACTTTCTACCTGGACACCCTTTCTCTCTGCTTCTACCCCGCGAGCGAGTCGCTTACTGTTCTATTCTCTCTGTTCCTTGGCTCTACACCGCCTTCTTCGGATGCCCCTGCTCTGTGTTGGCCATCCCCTCCAGAGTCCAGTCCCTGACCCTCCACAGACCCTCCTCCGTTCTTCCACCGCCTGCTTCCCTGGCTGACGGCCCGCCTCTCCCCTCAGGTCCGGTCCGGATGCCGTGCCCTCGGCCTCCCTGGCTCCGCCGTCCTCGTGCCCCTCAGGGCTCAGGTCCCAGCTCCCCGAGCTCACTCTCTGCGCCCCGCTCCCCCGGCAGGGAGGAGGGCGAAGACGATGGCGGCGCGGAGGAGGAGGAGGAAGGGGACGGCAGCCCGGGCTCCGGCCCCATCCTGACCCCCGCGTCCCCCGGGGAGTGTCTCATTTGTGTGTCACCCTTCGACGGCGTTTTCAAGCTGCCCAAGCGCCTGGACTGCGGCCACGTCTTCTGCCTCGAGTGCCTGGCTCGCCTGTCCCTGGCCACGGCGGGTGGCGGCGACGCGGTGGCCTGCCCCGTGTGCCGCGCGCCCACGCGCCTGGCCCCGCGCCGAGGG